ACAAGGACTATATGTATATGTTCACACATATATAGTCCTTGAGTTATGACCTCAATTGAACCCAAAATTTATGCTAAGTGAAACATAAGAGTTTGTCCCATTTTACGACTTTTCTTGCCATAGTTGTTAAGTGAATGATTGCATATATTAAGTTAGTAACATAATTAAGTGAATCTGGATTTCCCAATGACATCAGTTGTCAGATCGTGAAAGCTGATGGCGATTCCAGACACTGCAACCATCATAGCGTTGTGGTTCGCCGGCAGCCTATGCAGACAGCAGCGGAATCGGACAGTGGGGAAAAAAGAGGATCAGTCCAGGCGTCTGGAGAGGACTCAGACGAGGGTCCTGCATCCGATGCAGAGATGGGGCCAGAACCATCTGGGAGTGGGGACCCTCCAGAATCTGACAAGTGAGGCAGAGGACACAGGGGACCCTGTTCCCAGTGCACGTGTGCGCAGAGCTGCTAGAAGGCAAGAGCAGCTGAAACAAAAGGGGCGACTTGGGAGTAAAGCTGGGATGTGATTGCCCCTCCCATAAGGTATAAAGGACAGGCAAAGATGACAAAACCTTTGCAGGAAGCAAAGTCGTTCATTCGGTTCAGATTCATTCTTGAAGTTCTTTGTACTTTGGTTGGGTTTTTTTCTAGTTTATTTGACACTTGGCAGCACTTCACAGGAAAGAAAGGTGGGTGCTTATCTCAAGGGACTGTTTGAGATTCTTTACCGACTTGGAATGAAAATAATTCCCAGTGTTGCAATAAAACAAGACTTGTTTTTAAAATAAGCATGTACGTAATTACAGTCTTGGAGCCTTGGTCAGAACACATAGATATGAGTCAGTTGCCAAGGGACTGAATTTTGATCACATGACCAAGAGGCTGCAATGGTAGTAATTGTGAAAAATGGTCATGTCACTTTTTCCAGTGCTGCTGTAACTTTGAACAGTCACTATTGAACTATTGTAAGTCAAGGACTACCTGTATATCTATATCTAAACAATATATCCCTATCTATATGTGTGTGTGTGTGTGTGAATGTATGTATATGTATGTGTGTGTATATATGTAACATAAGCATGAAAACACTTGAAAGGGATATGAATTTAAGACCTCCATCATACCTGTTTTGTTTACGTCATTCTTAGTGAGTCTAAGACAGTTTTTCCCATACAAAATAAATTATTTGAAAAAAAAAAATCTTTCACGTTGACTGGAATGGGTCAGCCTAGAATACGTATTCTGCTTTATTAAGTAAGGTTGCTTCAGAGTCACAAGTACTATCTAGTGTGACCCCACGTTGACAACAATTCGAATGATGAATTTGTTGTTTAGAAAGCAAAACAGGAATCAGTCAGCTGAGGCAGCATTCACTAAGATTAGCAGGAACAAACATGAGCAAAGTGAAAAGAAGTCTCTTCCAAAGCTGTGCAGTTCAGAGGAGGTAAGCTAATGCAATGACAGTGAGGTTTTTTACTTGAAGATGTACGAGGGCTATCCACAAAATAGATTACGTTTTCATCTGTAGCAAGAAGGGGCGGAGCTAGCACGGCCATCTTTGGTCTGTGCGTCCGCCGCTCAGTCTGCATCTAGTCGTGTTAGCGGGAGGTTCGTATCGTTGCCCGTTATTTCACAGCAAACGTTTGAAATGTGTGCTGCAATTGAAAATCCCACGAGTTGTGAGGTGCGATCAGTCATAAGGTTTTTGTTGGCAAAAAACCATAAACCGATTGAAATTTTAATGGAAAAATGGAAAAACTAAGAAAAGCAATTCAGAACAAGCGTAGAGGAAAGTTAAGCTCAAAAGTTTTGTTCCAAGCCAGGTCTTCATCCTCGGAAACAAGTGGTAGTCGCTTGGTGCAAGATCGGGGCTATAGGGCGGATGAGGAAAAATCTCCCACTTGAAAGCATTCAGGACTTCTCGAGTGCGATTTGCTGTGTGGGGTCGGGCATTGTCATGCAAAAACAAAATTTTTGAGCTCAACTTTCCTCTACGCTTGTTCTGAATTGCTTTTCTTAGTTTTTCAATTTTTCAATTAAAATTTCAATCGGTTTATGGCTTTTTGCCAACAAAAACCTTATCACTGATCGCACCTCACAACTCGCGGGATTTTCAATTGCAGCACACATTTCAAACGTTTGCTGTGAAATAACGGGCAACGATACGAACCTCCCACTAGCACGACTAGATGCAGACTGAGCGGCGGACGCACAGACCAAAGATGGCCGCGCTACCTCTGCCCCTTCTTGCTACAGACGAAAACGTAATCTATTTTGTGGATAGCCCTCGTACAATTAACTAGTTCATTTGTTCAAGTGAGCGTTTGGGTGGAATAACAGCCATTGTTGCCAAATAACAGCTATAAACAATCAAGCATAAACAGATGAGCCCGGATTGGACACTGTGCCATCTGTAGAATCACATTTCTGGGACCAGATCTGGGGACTGGTGTAGACATCCTTGCTGGGCGGACACAACAAGCTGGAATCCACAAAGGTCCTGTAGGAGCAAACACAACAGCATAGCCTCACCCCATCACCTCCAAATAGTTAACTAAAACATTCAATTTAAGGTAAATGGAAACATTAAATTGCATTCAATTGAGTTAAGGTAAATAATACTTTTTAAACTTTTTTTACTTTACTCTTTCTTTCCTTTTTTATTTATTTGTGGAGATAGGCCTTAAATGACCAATGAGCATGTTCCATTATGGCTATATTCCAGGTTGTACAAAATTGCAAAAAAGCCAAATATCATATTGTAAAAAAGAGGACTTGCCTAGTAGGTAACATTCATTTGCCAAAGTTGATGATGAAACAATCTGCTTGGCTTAACTGGAATATGGCAAGCTTGTTCCAGGCCTCTAGCATTTTGATGGAAAAAGAGCGACTTAATTTTTTTTTTGCAAAGCTATAGCCTTAAGAAAGAGGCCCAGAAAAGGTCAAGCGACTACGCGTGTAAGAAATATCTTTGGTCTTATAGTAGCTGTTGCAAAATTAAAAATAAGGTCACAAGATTAGGGACAATCCTGGGCGTAATATAAGCACCTGGAAGATTAAAAATAAGTTAACACACATAATGAGAGTCAGAGATTAAATCAAAAGGCTGTTGAGAAAAAGTTTTGAAAGTTAAAATAGCAGGACACTTTCCAGGTATCATCATGAGGATCCTTGTAAGGACAGGAAAGGAAGAAGCCATTAAGCAAGCAAGCCAAAGTTCTTTAGGCAAACAATACAACTTACATATTAAGATAAAGGACATTGAAGAGATAAGTTTTTCTAAAAATAAAATTGAAAATCAGATTTACATAACTCCACCATTTATATCTTACTGCGCTTTATCAAAAATTACAAAGAAAAAGTTATTTGCAAAGCCCATTGTAAACCTTTCATGATTTTACCTGTTATGCTGGCAATAGCCATGCATTCTTCACATTCTTGCTGTAAACCCTCCAGATGGAGTCAAATTTTAGTGTTATTTCTCTGCTTTAATCAAAATATGGATTAAGAGCATGTACAGAGTGCAGCTAGTTTTAAATTTTGATTCCCCTTGCTGAAACTGGGAACTGAGCCATCTTCAAAGATAACGTTCCAGGCAATTTGCCAATCTCAGCCTATCTATCTGAGGCTCCTTTGTGTGAAAATCGCTAAAAAAAATCAGGAGATGAAGCTATGTAACCTATAAAAAAGTTATTTTCCAACCTCGCCTTTTTCAAGGCAAAAACTCAAAGCAGAGGGGAAAAAATGTTAAAGTGATTGAAAGCCTCACTCTCCCCCCCACTCCTGCCTCCACTCTTACAACAATCAGCCAGGACAAGAAGAGGGGGGGGAAATCACACACAAATAACTTTCATTATCAGTAAAGCACACACAAATACACACACAAATAATCCTCTCTTTCCAGTAAAACACATACATTTCTCCATGGGATCTTTTTCATGCCCCTTGCACACACTATTTCTACTCTCCTTATAATCTGAGATAGGGGTCAACACACAAATATTTATACCAACTTTTTTACCATCAACATACTCACACATTTACACTGTAATCATACGGCTTGCATATTTACAATTCTTTTCTGGGAGCCAATAAGCTCCATTGTAGAGGGTCTCATCCTCCAGGGCTCGGGAAATGATTACATACGGAAACATTCTCACACACAACATTTCCAGACCTGGGGAGGTTTTGTCCCTTTAAATCTCCACATTTTTTTTTTTTTTTTGAAAACCTGTAGTTTGTTCTTAGAGCACTGGGAGAACTCAAGGAGCGGTTCCAATCACAAAGGCGATTGTGGGCCCGAACCACTGCCTATCTGCCTCCCACAACTCTAAGCCCAATCCAAAAAGCCAATTTAATTCTCTGGCTGCCAAACATGTTACAATTAATTTATTTTGAACTGCAACACTTCCAATTTGGGCTATACACAGGTAAAGGATATTTTCTTCAATTCAATTCTATTCAATTCTGCGTACAATTATTTTACATTATTATACATACACGTCTAAAAAGTTTTAATGGAAATCACATCCTGAAAAGAATAGTAAACATTTTCTTCTTCTCTTAGTTCTTCCTAACATACATAACAGCATAAATTAACCATATCTTCTTTAATTAGCCCCAATGTACTTTATGGAGGGGCTCTATTTTAAACACGGGTCTGGGTCTCGTTCCGTGCTTCTGAACAGCAGAGCTAACTGTGGACCATTGAACTCAATGGGGCATGCCTTCCACATTCAATCCTGCCACCCAGTGCATCAGAAGAGTAGTTGCCCGCATTCTAGTTACATCCATTGTTATATTTTCTTTAAACATGAAATAATTAAAAAGGATTAATGTAAAAATTTTAAACAAATAAATGTATGTGTCTCTGTCCTGGGTTTCTAGCTTGAATCTCCCTTTTTTCTAATTGTTCCTCTAATACTTTCCTTATGGGGGTGTACAATGGCCTTGGAGAATCAGAACATTTAGCCCACTCAGAAGGAGCTGAAGGTCCAATTAGAGAAGATTTTTGAGTGACAATTTTTACCTGATCATAATCAGGAGGGGGCTTATAGTCAATTATTATTTTGCTGAGACATCAGAGCCCAATTATTGTTTTACTGAGACATCAGAGCCTGATGTTTCCACTGTATGACAGCATTGATACCATCGATGTAATATTTGGACTGGAGCCATGGGTATCCTGAACCTTCTATTCTATTCTATTCTGTTCTGTTCTGTTCTGTTCTGTTCTGTTCTGTTCTATTCTATTCTATTCTATTCTATTCTATTCTATTGCGCTCAGGATACCATTTCCCTATCTTCCAACCAGCTTCCTTATGTTCCCCTCAGATGCTGTAACGCCTGATTTGTGTAACAGGAATCTTAGTTCCTGTACATGTTTATGCTGTTGCTGAGATAGATTGCAACCCATACTTACCATTGATGGGTCCCATAGGACCTGGGGTCCCGTAGGACGAAGGTGCGTATGGTGGATTGACATTTGGAATGAGACACAGGGAACTGTCTCTGAG